TGCACGACTTGTCATGTTATTTACTGGTGGCCACTATGGTCTTTGGGGACCATACCAGCTTATTTGTACAGGTATAGTGAATAAAAGAGGTAGATACTTATATATAATGTGTGTATATAGCGTAATAACACCACAAACAATATTGTTGGAGGAGAAATATTAGTGCATCTGACCTTGAACCAGTGAGGGCAGTAGCCACCAGCTGACTGTGTGTAGCCAAGTCTCTTATTGCCTTTACTCACCATACAAGCTTAGATGTACAGTTATGGTGAACAAAACATGTAAATACTTATATATAACATCTGTGTATAGTAAATAAATGCAAAAACAGTATTGTGGGAGGAGAATGAGGGCGAGTGAGGTGTTGTTGAGGGAGGGAGTGGCAGCAAGAGGCTGGCTGGTGTGTGGCGGTCACTCCTCGTTGCATTCTGACTCAATACCAACTTAGTGGTTCATTATGGTGAGCAAAACATGCAAATACTTATATATAACCTATGTATATAGTGTAATAACAGCAAAACTTATTTGTTTATTGTTTTATGAACATAATAATTGAATCACTAATATGCACACCATAATTTTGAGTACAGCAATGATTCACACATTTTATTATATAAATATATCACAATTCACACTATTGAATAATGTTACTGCAAAAAAACAAAGAAAAAAATCAATCAGAGACATTGAAATAATTAGGTAATAATATATTTGGGGCAACTGCCGCCTGACAGCTCGGGCGGAGTAGACTCGTCTGGCAAAGGCTCTGTCAATGTCCCTTTTTACCCAGACATCCCTACCCTACTGCGACTAAAATATGTCACCTACAATTTTTTTTATTATGTTTTCCGTGATCAGGGAACACAAATGAACACTCTTATAAGACGAAAGAATTTTTTGGAATTTTTTTTGTTGCGCCTGTGGGTGTTGAAGCCATTTGGATCCCTTATGGTTTGAGGGTTAAGGAAAAAGTCAAGCATTTTCACCAACAAATGAAGCTTCATGATAACTGTGCATACAGTCATGGATGGCTAAGGGGCTTTAAGGTTCATCCTAGTCCTCTGTTGATGCAAAAGGTACAATGGAATATGTGTCGAAATTTGAGATTGTGTAGGACAATTCTTTACCTCCTGAGCAAATTTATAACGCTGACAAAATAAGCTTGTACTGGTGTATGTTGGATGGTTATACATAGATTCATCATGATGAAAGTGATGGTTCAGCTGGACTTAAGGCAAATAAAGAAAGACTCTCTGTACTTAGTTCCGCATATACAGCAAGCGCGCACAAATTAAAATTACTCATTATTGGCAAAGGTGAAAATCCAAGGAGATTTAAGGATGTTAAGAATATTATCCCTATGATTTATAAGGTTCAGCCCAGTGCATTTAGGTCTAGAGTCATTTTTCATTAATGGTTTTTAGGTCATTTCGTACCCTAGGTGAAAAACCATTTTAACAGTGTCACACAATTAATTCCCCTGCATAGCAGTGGAAAGCTGTCTCTTACCACTCTCAACATCTTCATGCTACAGTACACCTCTACGAAAGCAAAACCGGACAGCCAACCAAACATCTGTTTGGATACCCTCCACCCAGTCACCCCACCAAGTCCTGTGACCTCCTGGTGGCCTGGAACGACAGACTACTCTCTGGTGCTCCTGGAATCTCCACTCCTGCCTTCACTCACTGTTGCTACCTGCTACGATGCATGACAGTAGTCGTGTGGATAATGTACACAGTAATTTAGTCAATTATTTTCTTTGCTAATAGAGTAACTATTAATTTGAGTTTTTATTTTATTGTAACAAGTAATGTTTCAGGAATTATTATGTTTAAAGTTATAGTAAATTGGTTTAAATTTTCACATGTTTATTGTTTAATCCTGCAACTTTCACACTGCAAGGGCAAAACACCACTTTGTTTACTTGTTTTTTTGTTTGATGTGAGTGAGAGTAATTTTCCACCTGCCCGGTATAAGCTGTGCTACCGAAACAGGTCACAACAGTATTAGCTTCCCAGAAGACAGCAAAGTGGTGCTCTTGCTTGATAATAGCTCAACACATCTACATGAAGATGAGCTAGTTAAGGGCAATACATTTGGTACATTTTTGCCACTCAACACAACTTCCTTGATCCAACCCATGGATCAAGGAATAATTTTGAACCTCGAACTCCACTTCAGAACCGAGTTCGCTAGACAACTCCATGCAAAGAAGGGTATCATCAAGGACTTTCTGAAAACATTTATTATAAAACCAGCTATGGTGTATTGCACATGCATGGAAAATGGTCAAGCAATTAACCTTGAAGCATGCCAGGAACAAACTTTGGCCTGCAGCTGGTTTGCTTCCTGATAACGATGAAAATGCTGCAGATTTGGAAGAATTGGGTGGAAAGAAAATAAGCGAGATGAAGAAATTACGATGAACTCATTGCCTATGTTAAGGGGCCGTATTACGAAAATATGCAATAAATGAAAATTGGTTCGATTTCAATCAAACATTTTTGACTACTTGTATATGAAATTGGGTTCAACTGGTCAAAATTTCAGCATCATAGCATAAATAGGAAGGGAGATCCTCAGCATCTGATGTCATTTTACAGACCTTACAATTTTAAAAAATGCAAAGACATGGCTTGAGGCAATTAACACTCAAAGAGACTTTTGAGAGGGTTTCCAAGAGAACTCAAAGAGAAGCCTCTTGTATTCCTCCTCCAAGTAACCCTCAACATCTCAGCCTCAACATCTACCTCTACCCTCAGTTAACACTACCACACTCACATAACCATCATTCCAAGTTGATATTTGAAGACACATCTGAACACTTGATAAGTACCAATATTTATTCTTACAGTATTTCTGTACTGTACCAATATTTTGTGGTATTTTCTTTAAAGTATCTAGTGAAAAAATAATGTACTATGTACTTTTGTACAAGAAATTATTATTTTTCGTATCTGGGGGGGGGGGATTCGACCACATATCCAGACACGACTACACATCCAATTGCAGCTCGAACCAAGGTGTTTGGAAAGGAGAATGTTAAGTGTAGTATGTTGAACCATATAGATTCTGAGGATCCCATGGTGTTCAATTCCTCATTGTTGGTTACATTCAAGTCCTCTGTACACTACCTGCTCTTGTTCTGTTCTTTCTGAATGGTGGATGGTATCCAGGAAGATGGAATTACCTGGAGAAGTCGGTCGGCCGAGCGGACAGCACACTGGACTGTGATCCTGTGGTCCCGGGTTCGATCCCAGGCGCCGGCGAGAAACAATGGGCAGAGTTTCTTTCACCCTATGCCCCTGTTACCTAGCAGTAAAATAGGTACCTGGTTGTTAGTCAGCTATCACGGGCTGCTTCCTAGGGTTGGAGGCCTGGTCGAGGACCGGGCCGCGGGGACACTAAAAGCCCCAAAATCATCTCAAGATAACCTCAAGATATACCCTACAATTTCATCATCTTTGCATCATGCACCATTCCACCCAATTCCCTGGCTCTCTGCTACCTCATCCTTTGGAGAGGTGGGAAAGTAACGTAGTACTTTCAGTTCCCTCTACAACATGGCAGCAAATAACAGAAAATGTACCGAGAGCTGACAGAGACCAACCAAGATGTCTGGACATCCTTTGGTAAATACAGTATCACAACCCATTACATAAAAATTTCATTGGCAGATTTTCAGCAATATCTAAGTTGTATAGGAGTCCCAAATAAATAGCAATGAATGCACAATGGCTAATGTTTACATCTCTTCGTTAAACAGATCAGGTCTCTTCAGTAATTGGTTAGGATGACCATGTGGACAGCCTCACCTTAGGCTAGAAAGGACTGCAATAAATGTAACATTCCTGTCCCCCTACAGTGGGAAACAAAGTATGAATATGAATTATATTCATTCATTCATATATATATATATATATATATATATATATATATATATATATATATATATATATATATATATATATATATATATATATATATATATAAATATATATAAATATATATAAATATATATTATATATATATATATATTATATATATTTATATATATATATATATATATATATATATATATATATATATATATATATATATATATATATATATATATATATATATATATATATATATATATATATATATATATATATATATATATATATATATATATATATATATATATATATATATTATATATATATATATATATTATATATATATATATATATATATATTTTATATAAATATATTATATAAATATATATATAAATATATTATATAAATATATTATATAAATATATTATATAAATATATTATATAAATATATTATATATATATATATATATATATATATATATATATATATATATATATATATATATATATATATATATATATATATATATATATATATATATATATATATATATATATATATATATATATATATATATATATATATATATATATGTAGCAACCATCATTATCTTTACATAATATTTATAAATGCATAATTATAATAATTCATTGTGTCAGGGGACAGGCAGCCAGTGTATACATGTTTGGCTTATTCCCCCCCACCCAGGATGCAACCTCACAACAAGCTAACTCCTGGGTACCTATTTACTGCTGGGTGAACAAGTGCATTAGGTGACAGGAAATGCGCCCAACCATTTGTTCCCACCTGGGATTCAAACCAGGAATTCTCTATTGTAGGTCAGAAACGAACCAGATTATATTACAGAGATCTGAAATAAAGTATTTTTTTTTTAATCTCTTAACAAAGATTGACCTCGGTTAGGTCTATTAACGTTGATACTATTGTCAGGGCAGTGACGGGACTAATCCATACGTCCACTATTTGGAGCAATAGGCCGTATGGTAATTGCAGCCTTGACCTCAAGAACCATAGTGACCCACTTTGAAAAGCTCGAGCATATTATATTAGTCTCTAATTTTCGAGGTGCCCTCATAAAACTATTATTACTCACACTGTTCTCATCTCTGGGCTTAATTTCTGCCAATACACGCCTGGTCCTGGGGCTGGCCATGTCAACAGCTGCAGACGTCCCGCGGTCCCAAGCTGCCAACACCAATTGTTTACCCACACCAACACTTCCTGCCAAGACTTATTTACCGACCTAACACATCATTTAAATTGCATAATATTTATGAAATGACTAAATTAACAATTATTAATTATTATAGTATATCAGTTAAATATGTTATATTGTAGCAACGTTATACAAATGAAAGAAAACTTTGTATAAAATAGACTTTCATATAATTATTTACGTCATTCACCTTCGCCGGCACATTCAGAGTTGCCTTATTTTTTAATTAACAAGCTTAGGTATACATAGCAATGTGCTGCTATCCTATTCTATATGAAAGATTACACAGTGTAAATAAAAAACTAGCTGTAAGTTCATCTAATATTCACATCTCACAGGATGGTTAGTCATACCGTACATGGAATCAGGGGAGAAAATACCAGCCTCAATACAAGAAACAAATCAACACCACTACCGCCCACTAGATGGGTATGAGGTGCATAATAAATGAACTGGACTAACTCTTACTAAAAATCAGGTGAGAACATGAAGTGCAAGACTGATCTATTAGCCTCCACTAGCAAAATCTGGGTACAGCACAAGAATATCTTCCAATAGATTAGATTAGATTTTTTATTCAGGTAAAGATACATACATTGAGGATGAGTTACAAACACAATGTTGGATTTATAGATAGAGTTAGTACATACAATACCTAAAGCCACTAATACGCATAGCGTTTCGGGCAAGGTGAAGGGGGGGGGGAACACTAAGACTAAAACTTAATAGTAATTGAGCTTAAAGTATAAATTGTGTTGAAAAAAAATAAAAAATAAAAAAGGGGGAACATGCAGAAAAAAAAAATAATAATAATTCATCGACTGGCTGGTCACCACTTGGTCCGGGAAACATCTCCCGTCACGTAGGGTGCAGTCGCGCCTCCACAGATCTCCAGTATCAGCTCTTGATACTGGTAATGGCTCAAAAAGGGCCACCACTTACGAGCTATTCATGCCCGTGCCACCTTTTAGGTGGCTTCATCTTCATCAATCAATTCAATCTGTTTAAATCACGGAAGACATCTTCCGTCACGCAGGGTGCAGTCGCACCTCCACAGGTCTCCAGTATCATCTATTGATACTGGTGATGGCTCAAAAGGGCCACCACTTACGAGCTATTCATGCCCGTGCCACCTTTTGGGTGGCTTCATCTTCATAACACATTCATAAGGGAGACATCTCCCGTCATGCAGGGTGCATTCGCACCTCCACAGATCTCCAGAATCAGCTCCTGATACTGGTAATGGCTTAAAATGGCCACCACGTACGGGCTATTTATGCCCGTGCCACCTTTTGGGTTGCTTCATCTTAACACATTCATAAGGGAGACATCTCCCGTCATGCAGGGTGCATTCGCACCTCCACAGATCTCCAGTATCTTGATACTGGTAATGGCTTAAAAGGGCCACCACTTACGGGCTATTCATGCCCGTGCCACCTTTTGGGTGGCTTAATCTTCATCAATCAATCTTCATCAGAAAATAACAATTATACAAGTTGGTCAACAAACAGCATTACCTGGTTGATGGGGTTCTGGGAGTTCTTCTACTCCCCAAGCCCGGCCCGAGGCCAGGATTGACTTGCCAGAGCTTGGTCCACTAGGCTGTTGCTTGGAGCGGCCCGCAGACCCACATATCCACCACAGCCCGGCTGATCCGGCACTCCTTGGAGGAAACAATCTAGTTCAAGTTCAAGTTCAAATATGTTTATTGAGATAAGCAAGAAATACATCTCAAAGGGATAGAGTAGCTTAGGCTATTTCTACCCCCCCCCCCTCTACTTCAAGTCCCTCAAGGGGCGCACAAATTCAGTGAGTACAAATAGACAAATAACATTACAAGAATCCCATTTAACATTGCAGGTTAATATAGTAAGTACAGCATATAATTGTTACACTCTTTGAGCAAAATTCTTGTAGCTCCTAAGTATACTGTCTATCATACCATTATCACACATCCAAACAATTTGATGTGGTACACTATTTATTTCCTTATTTCTATAGTTTTCAATAAGTTGACACTCTAATACATAATGTTCTAAGGTGTGGGCGTGCGGCATACTACATAATTTACACTCGATCCTTATCTTTTTCACTGACATCAACACCGTATTGCCAGATATATTTGTATCCTAATCTTAATCTCATGTAAATTGAATCCTTCCAAGTAGACTTTTCTTTACCATAAGTGAAGGACGAATTTGTATTTATTATTGAATAATTCTTAAGTGTGTTACTACTGTCCACCATTGCCATTCTCTTTATCATTTCTTCACCCTCTTGGATCATCTTGATTCTTGTTTTTATTTGTTTCAAGGTTAACTGACATACAACATCAACAAGAGTTTTTTCCGTGGCTCTCTTCGCTATCTCATCAACTTCCTCATTCAACAGTATTGCCACATGTGAAGGGATCCACGTGAATCTTACTTTATACCCAGTTTTTTATAATTTCTTAATATTCTCTCCACACTCTATCACAATATTCTGATATACTGGGCGTCTGCTATTTAAAGACTCTAACGCTCCTCTGCTGTCAATAAGAAGCAAGCATTTTTACCACATTTGACTACTTCCTGTAATCCAGCAAATACACCTTGGAGTTCAGCCTGTGTTGAAGAGACATGGTCAGTTAAGCGGCGTCCAATAACAGTATCTACAGTGCCGATGTCAGTGTACTCCCTGGTCAAGACTCCACATCCTGTCTTCCCATCCCTAGCTACTGACCCATCACAATATACATGTCGAGTGTTTTCTGTAGGCAGTTTTCTAATTATACAATCATATGTTGCCCTCAACTCTCCTATTTCATACATACTTTTTTCTTTTGCAAGGGAGTAATTACTACATCTACAATACAATCCTCCCATGGTGGTGTGAATTTTCTCTTGGGCACAGCAATACACTCTGTAATAACATCATACTTTATAACATTAGAACATAAGTTATTCATATATACTCTCTTCTTCATCATACACTGTTCACTACTTCCCACCTTTGAACCGAGAGGATTAATTCATTAGCTCCCCCACCTCTCATTAATCTAATGGCAGAGGCTACATTTATCTCTACAATTCTATCCCCAATACTCTGCAGATTCAACTCCATCCTCATTATCTCAATCATAGCATTTCTTGGGCATCCTAAGATAATTCTCATGGCTTCATTTTGTACCTTCTCCAACTTGTCCATCCTACCTTTACCAAAACAAGAAATGACAGGTGCAGCATAATCAATAAGAGATCTTACAGTACTCAAGTATATCATTCGTAGCACAGGGACTCCCACTCCCTTTCCACAGCATGCCAAGGCCTTCAGAGATTGTAATCTCTTCCGACATTGACCCAACAGTCAGTTCATCTCAGCTTCCAAACTCTCATGGGTATAACCAACATATATGCCTAAATATTTATATATATTAATTTTCTATATTTTTACCGTTTATTTTCAATATAATGGGCCTCCGACTTCAACATTCAAACTTAGTTTTGTTTTCACTAACCACCAGTCCCATATGGTGACACAGGTTTCCGAAATTGTCCAACACTGTTTGAACCTTAGAAATATCTTTGCCCTGAAACAAAATATCAATTGCATATATGATCGGAGTTACCCCATTTGAGTATCTCTCAGATGCTATCTTATTCATTAGTACATTAAACAGGGTGGGACTCAACACTCCTCCCTGAGGTGTGCCGAGTTCAAAAGACCTCACACCTGACATACAGCCTTGATACCACACCTGAGCCTTCCTTTCGTAAAGATAATCCCCTATCCAGCGCAATAATCTCCCTTTAACACCAAGACCAGCTAATTCATATAAAATAACCTCTTTGTTGGCTTTATCAAAAGCTCCTTGTAAATCAATAAAAATTCTATAATAATCATTTTCATTAGCTAGACATTTAATAATATAATCAGAGGTACTTTTTCCTTTGAGGAACCCGAACAAATTACTAGACAGCTGATCACCTATTATATATAATAGGTGATCTATTATATATAATAGGTGCCGAGGCCTTCTATTTAAATATTTATTGATCTATAGATCTATTTAAATAAGTCTATTTAAAATGATCCTCTCCATCATTTTACAAAAACACGAGGTTAAAGACACAGGTCTGTACTTCCATTGGCTTTAGGGATAGGGATGAGTTAGTTAGTTTAGTTTAGTTCATTTATTATGCACCCCATACCCATCTTGTGGGCGGTAGTGGAAAGGGTTACAGAGGCACATAATGGGCTCAGGGACTGAACCCCACAATTCATTTAGCTAAGCAAGTTACAATCTTGATGAGCTAGTTACAAAATTCAATATAAGTCATCACATCAACAATGGGTTCGAGATCGACCTCAAGTACAGGTTCTAAATTAAGCAACTGACATATGTGGAGAGCTAGTGTCAAAATTTATATGTTTGTCCTGCACACCGCCCCCCATCCAGTGGGCAGCGGTGGATAGGTTACAATCACTTAGTTACTACCTACAGTTAGCAAACTGGGGATATTTGGCTAAAATTTCTGGTAGCAGATCATTTTGAATGAAATATTGACACATCGCTGGAACATTGGTTATAGAATTGTCTCTAAATTCACGTATCTTTTCGCACTCCATCACAAAGTGACGGAGGGTGTGCGAATAATTTTGTTGACACAGTTTACATTTGGTCAGGTCTACATCAGCAGATAATGAGAATTCCCAGAGATACTTGTAACCGAGTCTAAGCCGAGCAGTAGTAACATCTAGAAGTCTGCTGATTTTATTGGATGATCCATAGATGTGTGGCTCCTCTTGCATGATACTATGATGATAGATGGAATTACTGGTGTCAATTTCACTTTGCCTCAGATCTACAAGATCTTGTTGAAGTTCTTGAAAAACATAAATTAATAATTGAGTCGCAACATGGTTTTATAAATGGCCGTTCATGTTTAACAAATTTGTTATCTTTTTATTCTAGCATTGTTGAGGCAGTTGATAGTGGTAAGGATTGCGATGTTGTATACCTTGACTT